GACATGGTGGAGCAAAGCTACTTAGTTCAAGGCAGCTGGGAGAGAGCAGGGAACAATTACAGAGAGGAACAGGTAAGAGACAGTGTACAATAGGCCCAACCCCACCCCTATTACCTGCCCAGACACACCCGGGAGTGCACTCTCCTAATCTGCTGGGCATTTCTCAATAAAATTGACATATTAGGATTAACGGCACACTTGGTGTTCAAAGAACATCTCAAACTTAGCCTCCCCAAGAGATATCTAATTTCCCACCACTAAAACTTTGGTCAGTTTGAACTGGAGAAGCAAAAATATAGCACTGAATATCCCAAAGGCAGTAGTTTCTGTCCACCAATATCATGTTCTGCCATTGTTGAGATATAGCAGGAGCTGATTTGGCATAAACGGCACCATGGAAATTTTTTTTAATATATAGCAGCTCCACGACTCACTTTCAAAAGTTTAAGTTCCCATTAAACTTGTACTACGTCTACAAGACCTCTTTACACATAATGTAAGAGGCGTATTTTATTCAGAAGCATCATACTGAAACTGATTCCATGTCTAGAGAAAAGCTAGGCCTTGAGGAGATAATTGACACCAAAGCCTGATCTTGCCCTGTTATCTGCTGACTTGCAATTAATATGAAGATACAGCAACAATTTTATGGGTTTACACCATGAAACAAACGGCCTTCACGGGAAATTAAACAAAACCACAGACAGGAGGTGAGCACTTCCTTCCTTCCTTCAGGGAAGTCTCCAGTTGCCAGTGGCTTCACTCTTGATTTGGGGAGACCACAGAGTCCTCCTCAGCTATTCTTCTCTCCAGCCAAGCTTGCTGTCTTGCCATCCAGCCCACCCTGTCAGCCAGTCCCCAATCTATGCCACTCTTCATTTTAGTCTCTGCATTGCTTGGGTTCAGATCCCAAAAGGGAGGAATAAGATCAGATGCCAGACATCAATAATTGGCTGACCTCAAGTCGGATCCCATACCTGTGGCCAGCAAGAGTGGGACTGCGTGTTTCACACCTGACTATCTGGACTTATAAGATTCCTGAGGCTGGGCATTTCTCAGTGAAAGGGACTATTTTATAGTAAATTTCAACCTATTGTGAATTGTGTCATTGCAAATAGCAAAGAAGAAAGTTGCTTTCCTAATAAACATTCCCTAAGCATACCACTTACATACAGTGATTAAAGACAAATGATAGAGTAGGAATTAAATGCACTGGAAAGCACTGAGGTGAGGAAGGAGACTGAAATGAACAGAAAGGTGGGAATAGACGGAAAAGAGCAGACTTCACTAAGGGAAATGTCTCCCTGAGCAAGCGTGCATACGTGAGACTGTAGATCAGTCGAGGATGAATGACTCAGTTTTTACAGAAACAAAACTGTAAAAGGGCACAAAAAAAGGAAAATATTGGTTGGACTGCAGCCAGTTTCTCAGCCCCAGACATCTGGAGCTGAGACAAGGGAAGGAGAGGAGCCGTTCCTGCCGCAGCTCCTGCCCCATGCCGGGCTAGTTATGGAGGATATTTACATTAAATTAACGTGGCTGGTATGGCTGTGTTCAGCACTTGGATATGTGGTTAAATAATCAGCGTGGTTTGGCTGCTGGTTGCTTTACTGTGGTTAAATAATTGGTGTTGTCTTGGTTGCAAGCTACTTTAAAAACGTATATGTGCACTTGTTTCTCTCTCGCTGTCTCTTCCTCTTAAGCAATTTCAACAAGCCTGCAGCAGAACAGGGGCTGAACGGCTATCAAAGGAGCACTCCCCCACCCACCACCTGTACTTCCCCCAGATGTGTCTCCAGGGTTTGAGACTTTTCTTCTCCAGGCCTGGAAGGTCTCAGGAAAGAATTCTGTTCACTTCTTTTGCTTATGGAGAAGAGATAAGGCTGAGCCCGAGAGCATCTGCAGCTTTCCAAAAATGAGCTCAACTTTTATAAGAGGAATCACGCAGTTCTGAGATTCACCAGGAGAACAAGAAAAGACAGTTATGTGGCCCATTGGATAGAATGACCCTATGTGCAGGTATTTTCCCTTGTTGCATTCATGACTGGACCTGTGGAATCCAGGAACAGTTCCTGACACACTCACATATGCTCAAGATTTGTGGAACAAATGAAGGATAATAGCCAAAAAATTCATAATTCAGGAAGGATGTAGCTCCTATTCCAAAACGTTGCTTCATTCCATCACGTTGTTGATGTGTTTAGTGGTCATCACACTGTCACAAACTGTTCTGTCCAGGGCCCTAAGAAAACTCTGCTTTCCAGGTGGCTCTGTCTCTCCCATAGCCCCAAACCTAGATCCTAGATAGAAGATGAGCAGGGCAATTAACCCCTCTCCTAACAGCAAACTGATGGGACAGCTGCAGGGCTGGACCACCTGGGTCCCGGGACAAGCCTGCACCAGACACCTCACACTATCAATGATGGTGCATATGCACTGCAGGCTGCTGGGAAGACACAGGGCCCCAAGGTCCCGTAAAAGAATCCAGGGCTCCAAATCTGAAGTTGGCTTTGGAGAGGAAACATATTTCAGAGTGAGAAGTTGGTGTGAAAAAGCAAAGTTTTGTTTCAGATATGGTCTATCGATAAAAGGATAATTTCATTCCTAACAGAAGTACAGAACATACATGATGGTTAACACACAATTTTTTGAAAAAAATTTTTTTCTGAAGTATCTCTAGCAGAGATTTCTAAGATTTCAAAAGTAACTTGGAAGGATTTTTCAGAATCAATTGATTTGTCATTTTAGTAACGAATTCTATTTGCCTTTTTCAAAAAGTATTTTTAGTCAGGTATTGTGGTACATATTTGTAATCTCAGCACTCTGTGAGGCTGAGGCAGGAGGACTGCAAGTTCAAGCCCAGGCCAGGCAATTTAGGGACTTAGGAAGATCCTGTCTCAAAATGAAAACAGAAATAAAGGGTTGGGGATGTATTTCAGTGGGACGTCCCTGGATTAAATCCCTAGTACTACAAAAAAGGTTTATTTTTTCCATTTTGTTTTGGTTTTTTGACAGTTACTGATCTTTGGAGGAAAACTTTCTGGAAACATAACCCTTTCACTGTGTCGCTCAGTCCTGCATCTGATGCTATGTTTGGCAAGGTGGTGTGGTGACAAAGGAGAAAGCTCGGGAAGTCATGTCCTAGCTGCCTTTCCTTATGAGGCACATGGTGCTGTGACACTTAACCTCCTTGAGCTTACATCTGTGCTTCATTAATTTTCTGATGATTTAAATAATAATGTACCTCTTCTATGTAATAAGAGATATTAAAATTAAAGCTCGGTGGAGGTGTAATTTTCACCAATCAGACTGCCAAAGATGCAGGATAACAGCATGTCCTTTTGATGAGGAGGCAAACAAACAAACACTCTCCTACAAAAATGTGCCTCTTCTTCTACTCAGTAATTCCACTTCTAAAAATGTCTCCTTTAGTGCGTTAAAGCACACGAGAAGACAAATGTCCTAGCATATTCACTGCCACGATAGAAGAATAAAAAAGAAACCAGGATGTTCACTGCCAAGATACTGGGTTCATCAACTTACGGTGATTCCTACTGACGGTGGGTTGGGTTAGCCTGAGAGCACCTGGGGTGTTTCCAAAGATGATGGGCACTTCGAGCGGCAAACCGAGGGCAGAGCCCACTCCAAATATGAGCAGCATCGTTCCCATAAGGTGGGCCCCAAAGAAGCAAAACTGGAAGGAGGAAATCCACCAGTCCAGGTTGGTGCTCCCTCCCTCCCTCCTCCTCCCCTTCCTCCTCTTTCTTCATCTTCCTCTTCTTCCTCTCTCTCTCTCTCTCTGTCTGCTTTCATGAGGCGAGGAGCTTTCCCTGGACATACCATTCTGCCACGATGTTTCCTCCCTGCCGCAGGACTAAAAGCAATGGGTACAACCAGCCATGCACTGAAATCATAAACCAAAATAAGTCTTTCCTTCCTTTAAGCTGTTTTCTCAGGTACTTTGTCGTGGAAAGCTAACACACTTATAAAACATTAAAATGGAATACTGTGCACTCACCAAAAAGGATAAGCAAACAAGTAATATGTCAGCTCTTTATAAAGTGACATGGATCAGTATCCAAAATACACTGTCAACTATACTGCTGTTTTTTAAAGACACTTATATTTTTATATGTACACAAGACCTCCGGAAATAAATAAATTTAAATTATTTAAACAAATCAGAAGCCGAAAAGAATGTGTTAATGGCTTTGGTAAATAAATGTATGTCTACGCATGAAGTAAAAGCTTATGATAAAAAGTTACCTATCGCAAACTTTCCTGCTCAAAACAAAGCGCGACAGAAGGCTTGACCCAAGGTGGACACTCAACTATTTCTGGGGTGGGTAAGTGAATTCAAAAAATGACTATGTAAATATATGTAGTTAATCACTTGGGGAGATGTATACCACAGAGAGACCAACTTTTGGTTTCAAACAGCACACCTGGATTTACCTTATTTTTTAATGGGCAAAAAAGGAATATTAAAACTGAAAACTTTAAATGATAAAGCTCTAAATTGAAAGATTAGAAAGTACAGAGTATTCCAACCTAACCCCATAGTCCTCCCTGTTTCCTTAATGTATATTTTGTATTTGATTAATGAGATGCATTTGTAACAATTTTTTGTTTCTTGAAACAGGGTTTGCTGTGAGTTCAAGGTCAGCAATTCTCCTGCCTCAGCCTCCTGAAGGCTGGGATGACAGGCATGCTCCACCATGCCCAGCTGCATTTGTTACAACTGATAACCACTACTGATATACTATTATAGACTAAAGCCTACAATCTACATTATATTAACTCTTTGGTTTTCTGTTTTAACCTAGTTAAATGGAATCGTTTCATTCATAACTCATCTTCAGGCACATGTAGAAGGAATTCTTGGATTAGATTGAACCAAAGTCAGTGAAAAATGAGCAGGTAAATACAAAAGCAGATTAAAAATAAGAATGTGAACTCCCCAATTATATGTTTGATAAAGTCCTGGGATACACATTTCATTAAAAAGAATTAGATGGTTTGTAATCTTTTTCAATCAATAAGATCATAATTCTTTTCCCAAAACATTTCATGACATAAATTTTCAGCATTAAAGATCTGTTATTCTAATGGTTCTCCCAGTTTAAGAAGTATTAACCAGACACACACTTCATCCCAGCTTGTTCATGTATTTTCGCTGTTGTTGATAGTTACTGTTATGACTGTTGTCTTTACTTAGCTCTCTGCAAGAGAAAAGAGACTTTTTAGGCAGTCGTTTTCTTCCAAAAAAAAAAAAAACTGTTTACCCAGATTTATGAAATGGTAATTTAAAAGTTGCATCTTAATTCCAGGAGAGAGATCATAGGTTTGGAAACAAGATTGGGGCTTGCTTGGAAACCGTCTCCAAAGCTCGTCATAGAACCGGCTCTAGTTATTGAAAAGCCTAGGACTGATGTCCACATAATTTTCTCTTGGAAAAATTCCTCTTCTTAGAAATCTAGGTGGCTAACTGCACGCCACCGAGGGGAGAATTGTGTGATGCCTCGAAACTTCTACGGCGACCTCACTGTGGGACTTCGATCTCCATTTCACTGATACCTCTTTTCCAGCTGGACCACTCACTGGTTTTGTGGGGATTTCCCTGTGTTATAAGATCTTGAAAGCCAGCCGCGACCCTAATCTCCCACTTCCAAAGCTGGGGGCTCTGCTCCTGGGACAGCAGGCGTGACAGTACTGGCAGCTGTTTTGTCTGCACGCCTGTGAGCCCATGAAGGTAAGACCGTGTGGCATTTGGCATCCCAGAGTTATTAATAACATTCTCTGAAGAGTTAAAGCCTTTTTACATTTTTCTTAATCTTCACACCATGCTGAATCCTTACGGTTTGGTCCCCTAACAACTTAACATACCTCCAAAGCCAAACGAAGTAACTGTGTTCACACTTCTTTTTGCAAGTATATATAGCACAGCGATTCTCAAGGTGGCTCTGGCCAAGGACTACATTATCTTTTCCATCTGTCATTTCTGTAAAACAAAATTAAGAAATTACTGGAAAAATACAATGATGTCTAAAGAAGTGAAACCCCAGATTTTATTATTAGATTCAAGTTGCTATTTAACAACCAAATGTTTCTTGTCACATCTATGTGCATCTGACCAGGGACCACTAAAGAGCACTTCACAGCCTTCTTGTCACCTTTGTGTAGCTGTACTGCAGGCATTATTTGTTTTATGGATGAGAACAAAGTATGTGCACATAGAGAGGAGGGTATTGCAGTTACACATATTACCCAGAAGTAAGGAGTCTAGAAGTCTTTGTTCTCTAGTTATTTTTTCCCTGCTTAGAAGCTTCATAGAACCTTAGCATTAATAAGTAGTAGTAAGAGGTTTAAAATTTTTTATTTATTGCTTATTTGTTAATATTCTAAAATAAAAAGTTATCATCTTTTCTCAAAGATAATTCTAACTTTTAAAAAATGAACTGATCTTCTAATCTGTTCCATTGATCTACAGGTCAGTTCTTTTGCTGGTACCATGGTGTTTTTAGAAGTATTTAATTTCAGGTCAGGCATTGTGCTACCTCTTCCTTGCCTTTGTTGCCCAGAATTGTCTTTGCTATTCTAGGTCTCTTCTGGTTCCAAATGAATTTTAGGATTGTTTTCTCTAATTCTGTGAGATATGCTGTTGGAATTTTGATTGGGATTGCATTGAATCTATATAACAGTTTTGGGAGTATGGCCACTTCCACTATACTGGTTCTTCCTACCCAAGAACAAGGGATATCTTTCCATTTTCTGATATCTTTTTTCAGAGTGCTGTAGTTTTCAAAGTACTGGTCTTTCACTTCTTTTCTTAGATTGATTCCTAAGTGTTTCATTTTTTTCCCTTTGGATACTATTATGAAAGGTATTGTTTTCCCAATTCCTCTCTCAGTGAACCTGTTATTTGTGTATAGGAAGGCTACTGATTTTTGGCTGTTGACCCAGCTACTTTTCTGAATTTGGTTATTAAGTCTAGAAATCTTTTGGTGGACTTTTTGGGGTCTTCTATACAGAGTATTGCTAGGAGCCCCACGCGCTATGTATCAACATGGCCAGGCCTAACTCTCCTCCTCCCATGGAGGAGGCAGGGCCCTGGTGGGAGGAGAACAGGGGACAAGAGGTTGTGGTGGAGTGAGGCAGAGAAGAGGAGTGACTGCCTTTCTCCCCACCCATTCGCCAGAAAGCTGTCAAGCATGATGTCCTGCAGACCTCAGCTACTCTCCTGGCTTGGGTTACAGCCAGTCCCGTTTACTCCCCTGCGCTTCCCTTTTCTCTACCACTACAAATAAATGGGCTGGGAGCTTTTTCCTCCCATCAGGAGTCAGAGCCCCACCTGGCCCCACTTTTTTCTCTTTGTGCTTTTGTAACTTTCTTTCTTTGCCTTTTCTTAATCTCCCACCATCATTTGTCACTCAGTGAACCCTTCAGCCATGCAGGTAGTAGCAGAGTATCACGTCATCTGCAAATTAATTATCATGTCATCCACAAATCTGGAACAGCTTAGAAAATGAAGAAACAACTCCAGACACACTCAGCCACCTCATCTCTGACAAAGGAGCCAACCACCTTCACTGGTGGAAACATAACCTCTTTAATAAATGGTGCTGGAAAAACTGGGTTTCAACGTGCTGAAGATTTAACTATACCCATATCTTTCACCATGCACTAAACTAAAATCAAAATGGATCAAAAATCTATGCGGGGTATCTTCCCCAAAGAATTAAAAGAATCATACCACAGTGATATATGTGCATCCATGTTTATAGTGGCACAGTTCATAATAGCTAAAGCTTGGAAACAGCCCAAGTGCCCATCAACTGGAAACAGGATAAAGAAGATGTGGTTTTTTTTATAAAATGGAGTACTACTTAGCCATAAAGAACGAGAAACTAGAGACTTTTATAGCTAAATGGATGCATACTGAGGGCATACTCTTAAGTGAAATAAATAGGACACACATGTGTAAATACCGAATAGTTTCTCTAGTGTGAGAAACTGAGAGTGTAAATAAGGATTAAAACGATTTAAATGAATAATTGATAATTTGAAATAGGAAGAAAAGGTCCAAATGGGTAGGGGAAGTGGGAGGGGAAGGGAAAAGGAAAGAAGGGAAAGGAAAAATTATGAGAAAAGAAAAAAATGGAAACAAAGTCTACGTAAATAGGGAAGGGTGGAGGGGGTGAAGGGTGCACAGGTAATGGGGAAAAATAAGAACCAAGATACGTCATGTACAGGTACAAACACCCAATGATAAACGTAAACATACTGTATACCTAAAATGTACCAATAAAAGAATTTAAGCAAAAACGATCTAAATATTAAATCAGAAACACTGAATCTTCTGGAGGACAGGTGAGGTAGAACTCCTGAGGACACTGGCGTAGGCAAAGAGTTTATGAATAAAACCTCAGTCGCACAGGAACTAGCACAGAGAATCAACAACTGGGATCTCATCTTATTAAAAAGCTTCTGCACAGCCAGAGAAACCACCAATAGAGTGAAGACACAAACCACAATGTGGGAAAAATATTTTACCAGCTGTTCTTCAAAGGACTACTATCTAGAATATATAAAAAAAAATCAGAAAAATCCTACCCCCTAAATTTAAAGACCCAATCCAAAAATGGGCATCTGAAATGAACAGACACTTCTCAGATGCAGGGGTAGAAATAGCAAATAAATATATGAAAAAATGGTCAACATCATTGGTCATTTATGAGATGCAAATGAAAACAACAATGAGATTCCACCTCACTCCAGAAAGAATGGCTGCTACCATGAAATCAACCAATATCAAATGCTGGAGGGACTGTGGGGAGAAAGGAACCCTTCTCCATTGTGAGAGTGCAGACTGGTGCAACCACTGTGGAAATCAGTCTGGAGATTCCTCAAAAAACTAAAACTAGAGGTTCCATTTGACCCAGCTATTCCCCTTCTTGCTATCTTCCCAAAAGAATTAAAAGCATCATACCTCAGCAATATATGCACTCCCGTGTCTATATTGGCACAGTTTGTAATAGCTAAATCTTAGAAACAGCTCAAACGCCCATCAACCTGTGATTGGATAAAGATGTGGGGTTTCTTTTAATATAAAATAGAGTACTACCCAGCCATAAAGAAAGATAAACTAGGGTCATTTATAGCTAAGTGGATGCACCTTGAGACCATACTCTTAAGTGAAATAAATAGGACACACATGTGTACATACCAAAATTTTTCTCTGGTGTAAGAAAGAAAGTCTAAATGAGGACTAAAATGTATAATAGATATTGGGAAATAGGAAGAAAATGTTCAAAGGGGAAGGGAACTAGAGCGGAGGGGCAGGGGAAAGGAAAGAGAGAAAGAAAAAAATGATCAAAGGAAATGATGGAACAAAGTTTCTGTAAATAGGGAGGGGTGGAGGAGTGGAAGGGAGAGAAGGGGAAGGGGAAAAAATAAGAACCAAGATACATCATGTACAGATACAAATTCCCTATGATGAATGTAATCATAATATACACCTAAATTATACCAATAAACTCAATGAATTAAAAAAATGAAATGATCTATGAACTCTGAAAGTTTAGTTAATCATAGGCAGGATTATTTAAACAGAAATATGCCTTCGTGTTTTGTTATGGTTTATATCTAGATCCCCCCATCCTGTGCCTCGTGCGCTCACAGGTGGGCTTTGGGGAGGTGATTAAATCATGGAGGCATGATACTCACCAGTGGATAAGCCCACTGTTCTCCTCTGCGATGGCCCTCTGCCATGTCACCTTGCCTTGAAGCCAGGTGACTATGGACTGAGACCTCCACAAACTGTAAGCCACAATAAACCTCTCCTCCTTTAACTTGTGGGTGTCAAGTGTTGTGTCCCAGCAACAAGAAAGTGACTAAGACAAATATTTTTCCCAAATGATACATTCTTTGGTCCATGGGGAAGAATTCAAGTATAACAGCATTAGTACAAGCTTATATATTTTGAAAAAAAACTCTCAAGTGCTTCTGAGATGCTTTCTCCTTTAGGACATCTGGTTTGGAGGAACAGCTGGAGAACACCTAGTATTCAGTAATGACAAAAACTTCAAAAAAGCCAGGAAAGTAAGAAGACAGGAAAGGTGGATGTGAAAGACATTTCTTAGAATTAGTAGAACTCAAAGATATGGAGATGGCCCTCGTGAACAACAGAGGATAGAGTTCAGGGGAAGGCTCCAGGTCTTCTTTGTGGGAAGGACAACTCTTCCATGTGTGAATAGGAGCTCCTTCCACATGGGCCTGCCACACTTCAACTCTGTTCCCAAGAATTAATTCCTCTAAAGAAAGCAAGAGACAGAAAAGAAGAAGACTTTAGCATGGTATCGGGGGATCTAACCCTGAATCCTCCAGAATGTCCATGACTTTTACCACATCTTACTAACCAGTCACTAAGGCCTTCCAGAGATCCAGGGGAGGGATCTGGCCTATAACTCTATCCGGGTAGCACTGACATAAATAGGGGAGGAAATTGATGGATACCAATTTTGGAGTCTGTCTGGCACAGAAAGACAACAAACAGGTTTGGGGTGAAGAATCTAGAAGTGCTCTTACAGTAGGCAGTTTAGGATTTTCTCCTTTTTTTTTTTTTTTTTTTGAACCACTAAATGAATACATACAAATGTAAGACAAAGCAAGACTGGGGTTTAAAATGTCCAAGTAAGTGTTATTATTAAAACCAAGGCACTTAAGGTGAAATCACCTAAGGAGAAAAGTTAGGAAAGGAACTGCCAGGGAGTAAAACGAAAAACACTAGTGTTGATTTCCAGAAGCCAAATTGGATTTTTAAAAATATTTTGAAAAACATGGTCAGTCCCATCAATGCTGCTGAAAAGTCAGATGAGATGGTGACTGAGAAGTGCAGACTGGGCACAGCAAGATGTTGGTCACTGGCCACCTTGCGGAGGAACACGGCAGGGTGCACTGAAAACACCGAAGGGAAGACAGCAGAAACAGAGCGCATAAAATGGAGTTTTCATAGAAACGGGACAGTTACCAAGTGGGGCTTGTGTCCTACAAGTTTTCTGGCTTTTGTTTGTGTAAAACAGAAAAACAAGTACAGCCTCTGGTGAATGGGTAGGAATAACCCAACTCCATCTGTGGGCAGGCTCTGCAGCCAAAAGATCAAGGAGGCCACCGAGGGACGCAGAGGACCCCAGAGCAGGCAGCACTCCTGGCCCTTCCTCAAATCCCACCTGAGAGCAAGGTCAGGGCCAAGGTGGGGCAAGTTTCACAAATAAATAAAGACATGCCCTTTTCACCAGCGCAGTAGGGGGTGCCTAAAGGAGCAGCCAGGGGTGCTTCCTGAACACTTGTTAGAAATGCAGATGCTCCGGGTCTTGTTTTTACCCCGTCGCGTCCTCCGGGGATTTTAGCAAGGGCTCCATAGGATTCTACGCTGGCTATGTTTGAAATCGACTAGTCTAAAGGAACTCAACAAACACGAAGTCGACAATGAGTGGATGCTGCCCTTCTTCCTCAGTTCCTCATGAGCCTACCATCCGAGACATTAAAGCCCAGAGGGCCTTCATCAGGGAAGTCACCACTCTGGCCCTGTACCTTACCGGCGAAGGGCCCCAGAGACACAGCAGGTCAAGCTTTCCCAGGAAGACCCAGATGACAGCTGCAAACAGCACCCCTCCCTCCACCCCCAAGTCAGAGCTAGTTGGTCGGATGTACAACGAAGTCACAGACTTCCTCTTAAATCTTAAGTACAGATTTATACTGTTTGATTTATGCCACTCTAGTCAGGGCATGACTGTCTCCTTACCTCAGCCTGGCTCTGCGAGGTTCGGCTTTGCGCTGCAGCTCGCAGAGCCCGGGTTCCCGCTGCCCTGGCGCCCCGAGGCTGGGCACCTCCGTACGCACGGGGCACTTTCTGCAGCAACACACCCCCGTGGCTGCGGCTCTGACTCCCGCCCTCCCAGACCCCCTCGGCCTTGGGGGAGAGCAACCAGCCCAGCTCTGAGCGCGCGGGAGCCCGGCTCCCTCCGCCTCTGGGGAGATTTAGCCTTGATTTTGTGACAGATGGAGTTGATAGTCTCTACACGGAAAGCAGGAAAAAAGCGCCAGTTTTTGACTAGCCGCTGACGCCGGTTGCCTCTGGTGGCCGAAGGCTGCGTTGCGCCACCGTTAAGGTCGCTCGCGAAGTCCGGCGTGGGGCGGCGGGGCTGCTCGGACACTTAGCGCACACAGAGCGCCAGGCGGAGCGCGGACCGCGCCCGACGGGAGTCTCTCCGCGTGCTGTGACTGCGGCCTGATGGAACTGTTCACCAGGGCTCTCGGGTTTAAGGCTGTTATTATTTTTTTTACTGCCTAAGAAATTGATCCTGTTGATGAGATTTCTGTCAATTTCCAAACGACCCTGGTGCAAGGGCCGTACCTTTCGATGGTCTGGCCGGGACCCGGACGCGGAGGAGTGTGTGTGCACGTGCGTGTGTAAATGTCTCAGCATCTCTGCAGCTGAAGTACGTGCTGCTTTCTCTTACGGTTCACGTGTGTGCAGGTTTCAAAAGTTCCACATTAAATTACATGGAACCCCCCCCCACACACACACAACCCGCGCGCGCGCCTGCAGTAATGATAAAATCTGTAAAATAAACTGACTTCTGAATCCCGCCGAAGGCAAGGATGGGGGCGATCGGAGAGAATGAATACAGCTGCCCCACTTAAAATGAAAAATAAAAAGGAAAAAGAACGGAACACAAAGGCCGTTAGCAGAGTCTTACGCGAACAGCTGTCCGCGAGCTGCGCCTCGGCCCGGCCGCGCGCCCTTAAGAAGGCGGAGCACCGCCCCCCCCCCCCCCCC